GGGTCCGGGGGCTCTGAGGGGTCCGGGGGGCTCTGAGGGGTCCGGGGGGCTCTGAGGTGTCGGGGGGCTCTGAGGGGTCCGGGGGTCTGAGGGGCGCCGGGCTGAGGGACCGACCGGCCCAGGCATGTGCTCTGGGGACCAGGGTGACTCAGCACTTTTTCTCCCTGGGGTGGGGACTTCTGGGAAATACGCAAATGAGCAGGGCACCCTTTACCAGACCCCAGTGCTCACCTCTGTTGCTGGGAGCAGACCAGCAGGCTATGGGGGGGACGGGCCGGAGGGGGGTGTGGGGTGGGCTGGGCCTGAGCCTGGGGCGTGGGGGGACCCACAGGACTACAGGGGGTGAGGGGCAGGGCGAGAGGGGGCGGGCCAGGCAGGGTGGAGGGACTGGGGTCTGGGGGCTGAGGTGGGAGGACTTGGGGTAGGGGAGAGGCGGGGAGGGAGGGAGTCACGGGCCTGGCAGGGCTGAAATCCCCCTTGCCTGTCTGGGGGAGGTGGGTGTGGAGAGGACTCCCTCCCTCTCCATTTCTGAGGCAGGCTGGCAGGGTCGGGGGTCCTGACTGGGTCAGGCTGAGTCACGTCAGATCTGAGGCCTGGACCCTTCCTCCTGCCCAGCACCCCTTCCTCACCTGCCCCACCACCCTGCATACCAAAGGGTGCCACACCTTCCTTCCATTGCCTTTCTAGCTGCCAGAAACCTCAGAAGGCCAGGCTGAAGAAGTTTCTGGAAAGTAAGCCTCCAGCATCTGAAGATCTTCACCAAATTGAGACCCAGGTCTTCCACCCCATCCCTCACCCCAGGCCCCCAGACAGGAGCCCCCTTCCGGCTTCCCCTTTCCTCCTCCTCCGCCTCCCTCTTTGCCCTTCCTCTCTGCCCCGGCGTGGCCCTGGTCCCCAGCGAGTCCTTCTCTGCTGTCCACCCCACAGGAGGCGAGCTGTGTGGCCATGTGTCCCCCGGTCATGGAGCGGCATGGCAGAGAGGGCATGTCGCACCTCCATGCACTCTGGGTCTTCAGGCTGCTCCACGGACAACCGTTACAAGTGTGCTTTGCCTGCTTCAAGATGGCCTTTCTGGACTTAAAGGACCTGCTGGAGTCTGAAGAATGGGAGGAGGATGACTGGGACCTGGATCCCTTGGACTCCCCTGAGGAGGAGGAGGAAGAGGAGGAGGAGTTTGAGCAAGTGCACCCCGGAGCTGTGGCACTGGCTGCCATGGGGTTGCAGGAGGTGGGCCTAGGCTATCCCTACGTGCCCACTGAGCTGAGGCCTGAGGATGTGGTGCCCCTGGATGTGGGCCCCAAGGATGGAGACTGGATCCAGGGCCTTCCCTGGAGATGCCTGGAATTGCCTTCCTGCTCACACTGGCCCCAGAACCCACCCCCGTGGCAGTGGTCTCTCGGCTTGGACCAGCCCCCTCGGGAGCCCATGGTGCTGGAGCTGGGCACCGTGTGGCCCGTGGAGCCCATGGAGGCCGAGGTCTGGTTGCTGGGCCTACAGTTTGTCTCCATGGAGAGCAGCGGCGATACCTTCTACCTCAGGAAGATGGTCCCAGGCTCTGTCCTGCAGCCCGTAAGCCATCGCTGGAAGCTGCTGCTGGACCCCGATGAGGCGTGCCAGCTGGGATTCCAGGACCTGCCCCAGTATCTGGATCTGCCCAGATGGAAGCTGAGCATTCTGGACACCACAGTGCTGGACACGCAGCTGGTGCCCGCAGACACTATGCTGTTGAAGAAGGGGTTCCGTATCATCTCCTGTTCACCCCGGAGCAAAGGTGAGGCAGAGTGGGGGGTTTCCGCCGCCGAGCTGGACGAGGGCTACAGCCAGCCTGAGAGCTGGAGCTGGGGGCCTGAGTGGCCTTTGTGGCCTTCGTGGCCTGAGTCAGTGCTGGGTGGGGTGGGATCCATGACTTTTGAGGAGCTGCCCTTCTTCCAGCCCCTGCTCCCTTGGCCCCACCACAGTGAGCCTGAAGCCCAGGCAGCCGCCATTGACATGGTTGTCCCTGGACACCAGGAACCAGAGAGGACCAGCAGCAGCCCTTCCTTATTTGCAGTGGAGCACATGGCAGAGGATGATGACCTTGACAGGTGGTGGCAGAATGGGAGGCAGCCTTAGGGCCTCGGGAAGCATGGTGGGTGCTCACGGGCCGGAGCTACATTCTCACCGGTTGCTTTTTGAGTTGTTGGGAGGTGGTGCTGACCTGGCTGTGTTGAGGTGGACATTCATGCTGCCCTGAGGTGAGGTGCTGCAGGTCACCAAAGGTGCCCTGACCAGCTCTTCCTTGGGCAGGTGGCGGCTGAGGGCACTGTGTGTGACACAGGAACACACGGGTGACTGAGTCAGGGGCCCCGCACTTTGGTTGGCGTAGTATGTGGGAGGCCAGAAGACCCTGTCCAGATCCAGGGTTTCTGGCTGTAGTGGAAGAGAGCTGGTTCACGTGTTAGCCGGTTGTGCTCCTGAATGTTCAATTCCTGTTCCTTGGCATGTTGCTTTTGGTGAAATAAAGTTGTTTAAGTTGCTGTAGGCTGGTGTGATATTTTTTCTCTCACTGTCTGGGCTGACCTCCTACCAGTGGGAAATCTTAGCAGTTGTTGGGAGCAGGAGGTGGTTTGGAGTTCTGGTCTACTTTTTGGCTCACTTAAGAAGGTTGTGTCAAAGGTGGTTATTTTTAAACCTGTATGTGAAAACCTGACTAGAATAAAGAAGGGACCTGTGTTGAACACAAGTAATATGTTCCCGCACTGAGGGTCACCTGGTTTGTGCCCAGGGTCTGTGACAAATCTACAGATTGGTCATGTGAGACAGATGGTAATGTCTGCGGGCAGTGACACTGTTTTGGGCATCTGTGTTCTACACAGAGGAGGACGTAGTAGACACTGTTCTGGGCATCTGTGTCCTACACAGAGGAGGACGTAGTAGACACTGTTTTCAGTATCTGTGTTCTGCACAGAGAAGGACGTAGTAGACACTGTTTTCAGCATCTGTGTCCTACACAGAGGAGGACGTAGTAGACACTCTTTTCAGCATCTGTGTCCTACACAGAGGAGGAGGTAGTAGACACTGTTTTCAGCATCTGCGTTCTGCACAGAGGAGGACATATTGGACACTATTTTGGATATCTGTATTCTGTACAGAGGATGACATAGTAAACACTGTTCTGGGCATCTGCATTCTGCATAGAGGAGGACATAGTAGACACTGTTCTAGGCATCTGTGTTCTGCACAAAGGAGAACATTGTAAAAATCAGCTCTTCCTGGGTGTCATTGGGAGGGCAGATGGGACACAAGTTTCAGGCAGTTTTGTGTGTCTGTGTTTATAACTGATCACTGCCACCTCAAACTCTGGACACAGTGATGGCTTAGTAGATATTGCTCTACCATGTTTCTGATCTCAGAGGTCCAGTTTTACCCATAACAGGGATAGTGTCCTCTCTTGTTCCTGTGAGGACATATGTTGTATGCACACTTGGGAGTTCACTGTACAATGGTGGCTCTTGCTCATGCTCCTGTTAATTGCGGCCTCTGAGCTAACGGCTCTGATCTCATTGTCTACAAGGGAGTAAGAGAGGGAACAAGGGGAACAGCGCTCTGCTACTTCCAAGTGGAACTTGGTGAGGATATGTGGCTTTGGATGCAGAAATCTGGATCCCTGGGTTTCCACTGTCACTCCACCTCTGCCATCCCCAAAAGGGCTCTCCAAGTGTGTGTGCATGGCCTTCTTATTCAAGATGTGACACTTTGTGGATCTTCACGGCTTTTGTTCCATTATTATCTAGTCTTCATGTGGGACCCCTCGCTCCTCCTGTTGGCAGGAGACACCCGTTTGGGTGTCCCATGTTGGGTGGCTCTTTGATGCTTGGTATTCTCTTTCCCCTGCCTTTCAGCCCCTCTGGCCTTGGGCACGTCAGACATGGTCAGTCTCTGAATTCAGCCTGTCTTGCCAGCATCAGTGCTTTGGCTTTGTGAGATTGCTCAGCTATCTGAGGCTGTCCAGTAATTAACTGCCCTCCCTCCCCTGCTGAAGACCTGTTTAGGTTTCAATTGGTTTGACTGATGTCACAATCTCTCCAGCTATGTCTCAGACCTGGGGATGTTGGGATTAGACCTAGGGAAATTGTAGTGTTTGACAGGGAAAGTGAGTATTCCCAGCAGGGCCAAGGGGTGTCTCTGGGAGAGCAGAGTGCCCACCTGCTGCAGGCGACTCAGCCATGGGCAGTATGGTGAAGTAGTGAAGTATACCCACAAGCCCCTGCGAAGCGTGAGCAGGACCTGACCATCTTAGTACCACAGGAGGAGCTGCTGTACTCTGTCAGGGCATAGCTTAGCCTGGGCTGCCCTCCTCTGAGCCTTGCCCATTCTCTTATCTTTCCAAAAGTCTTCCACAACAAATTGCTGCCTCTGCATCTTCCCAGTGGCCCAAGCACTGAATGGATCCCTGGAGTTGGATGGTCTCTGAGCACATAAACAAAGCATCCTCTTTGGCAAGTCTGAAAAGCACCAATGTAGAGATTGGCTGAGCACCTGAAAAGAAACCTGGGAAGCCAGCCTCTTCCTGCAGAGCCTCATTTTCTACTGAATGTAGTAATGTAACTAGAAAAATTACCAGTCCCAAACATAATGAACCCATTATGTACACAGCAAAGCTTTAAAGGTCATATTTAGGGAGATGGGGCTTTCGGTTTATCCTTTATGAGTTAATGGTCCACTAAGTGAACCACAAGTGTGTAGGGTGCTTTTGTACAGATCACGTAGGCTTTGGGGGGATGGAAGCAGTCTTCTGAGCTCCCATCTGAGCATTGCTCCCTCTTACACCCTTGGCCTCTCCTGGGTCTGGGCCAAGGTCACTGGTGCAGGAGAGGGTCTAGATATCCCCTCCCCTCTTCAGGCCTTGAGCTTTCTCCCTTACTCCTCTTTCACTGGCCCCCACCCCTGCCACTCACTCTCAGGACAGCCAGGCAGCCCACTGTGCACAAGGTCTGACCAGAGTCCATGGTAGAACGGTTAGGTGAGCTGATGCTTGTCAAGGCTATCCCTGCCATTGGTGTGTGCTGCTCAGGAACCAAGAGCTGTGGAGTGGAGAGAGACCAGGGGTCCCAGGTTCTCTGTGACTGATGCTGACTACAGATAGACAGACATTCACTGGGAGACCTCCTCTCCCTCCTGGCCTGCACTCCAGACAGACAGATGTCCACTGGAAGGCCTCCTCTCCCCCCTGACCTGCACTCCAGATAGATGTCTACTAGGAGACCTCCTCTCCCTGCTGGCCTGCACTCCAGACAGACAGATGTCCACTGGAAGGCCTCCTCTCCCCCCTGACCTGCACTCCAGACAGATGTCCACTGGGAGACTTCCTGTCCCCCCTGACCTGCACTCCAGATAGACAGATGTCTACTAGGAGACCTCCTCTCCCTGCTGACCTGCACTCCAGACAGACAGATGTCCACTGGAAGGCCTCCTCTCCCCGCTGACCTGCACTCCAGACAGACAGACAGACGTCCACTGGGAGACCTCTTCTCCATGACCAAGGGCACAGAGTTGAGAAATGGACCTTACAGATGCAGACTGCAGATTTAGGGGGGACATGGGAAGTCAGACTGCTCTGCTTGAATGGGTGGCATAAACATGGACAGAGTAGAGCCCCAGGGAGGCAGGGAGACACTGGTCTCAGGCTGAGTCAGGGTGAGAGATAGAGTAGGGTGTGCAGAAGCTGAGTTGCTCAGGCATCACACCAGTGATCTGCATGGGAGACTCCTGGTACCTCCCTGGTCCTTTCTCCAGGGGCAGTGGCCAGGCTCTGGCCTCCACAGGAGCCTGAGGTGATCATTCTTTTTTTTTTTTGTCATGGGGCTTGAACTCTGGGCCTGGGCACTGTCCCTCAGCTTTTCAGCTCAAGGCTAGCACTCTACCATGTGAGTGCCACTTTCGGTTTTCTGGTGGTTTATTGGAGATAAGAGTCTCATGGAC